TCCCAAATCACTCCGTCGTCGGGTGTCACGTTGTGTTCTACGGAAAAATATCCTGCCAAAATAAAAATCAAGCCGAGGGTCGGTACCAACAATACCAATCCAACCAGAGCACCCGTGGCGGCGCAATACATAAAATTTCGTACGGGATGCGTCCTAGCTTTATCATCATCCTTCTTTTCCAAGATGGGCTGGTACGACGCCACGGCCAATTTGGCCAACAGCGTCCCCGGCAGTTCCTCGGCACTTTTCCAGGGCAATCCTGTAATGCGCAGGGGTCCCGCATCACCTAGATCTCCCAAGGCGAGTTGTCCCGAAATCAGCCAGGTAATGACACTCCCAATAATACACGTCAAGACCACGTCTCCCGCCACGGTACTCGGAAAGGCAAACATCATGGTTTCGGCTTCCTTGCCGGCATACAGGGCATAGCTAATGGCCGTGTTCATACCGCCACTAATGGCCGTACAAATCAGGGTGCTGATCACTACGTACGCCGAGAGAGGAATGTGGAGCGGCATGATTCGATTCTGTTGGAGAAAGATAATGGCGAAGACTGCGCCTTCTTTCAAAAAAGGACAGGATGCGATACTAGTACGGTGGATCTGGATGTGGGGAGAGGGGTACTGGTAGGTATTGGTACTACGAACGCTGTTGCTGGCTTGGTGTTAACCTTGCGTTTGTATACTGCCTACGGTATTGTGGGCTGCACGGACTGTCATGGTGTCATGGTCGCCGTTGCAGTTTTAATTTTTGCGGGGCTGAATCTTCAACACAACCGGACCTGTTTCACATGCACAGCACCTGTACGGTACCAGGTACCGGTACCGTACGTGGTTCCTTTAGTCTCAAAAATGAAGATCCGGGTCTGCCATGTTGAGGGATAGGGTTTTATAAGCGATGGAACCCGGGAACTCGCGGCTACGGTATGATAAAGGGGGGTTTAGAGATGTGTTCTGTTCTTTTCACAAGAGCTTTTCGCCTAATGACAGTAGTAGCAAGAGCTCGAGTCTGATCCCACTCTTTCCAATAATTATTAGACTACGTACCGCAGCACCACCCCTTCCTACCGTATGCCCCTTCTTCTGCTCCTATTAGCTAGTGCTTCCCCAGGCGTCACTCCCTCTTCGAGTCCATCTGCATCAGATCTTGCTCTAACTCTGATTCTTGTTCATAGCTTCGACCGCACGGAATGCTCACCGGGACTCTACTTTCGGGTCATTTGCCAGTCAAGGACCGACCTTGCTTGGGGCTTGGGGATCCATCCAGCTCGAGAACACATCTTGCGAACGATCCACCTCCGGCCTTCCACAACTCGCCCCCCGAAATCACATGGACTCTTCGAAGTCTCCGTCGGAGGGGAAATGTACGGAAGAAGAAGACGAGCACAATAGTTCATCGCAAACGGTGGTAACAGTTTGGCACGGGGTGGGGGGCACAGGGTAAAATATTCGCTCTCCCTCGCGTAACTCTAGCTGGCAGTTTCATGCAATAGTATGTACCGGTTGCGGAACGGCACCGTAACGGTACGGTACCACTATTATGGTACTAGTACCAGCATACCGTACTGTAGGGTACTTTTAAAAGTACTGGTATGCATACCGGTACCGGTATGATAGTCTTGTGCTCCGAAGTTGTCACTCGTGCTCGATTGCTGTGTATCTATATGATTTATTGAGCAGTGCAGGCAAGGAACAACAACGAACAAATTGGCTTCTTCAAAAAATCTGCCGAAGCTCAAAACCTTGAGTATACCAAAAAGGCCTGAAACCTAACCTTTCTGCTCGAGCCGTTTGGCCCCGTCCTCTCTTTCTTATTGTTTTTTATTCATCTGTATTGAGAATCAGGAACTCCAAAGATATCTTTCGTTGTTGTTCACGGGCCAGCAGGTTTCATCTGACAGTATCGTTTCGATTGGTATCTTATCTTTCATGAGTATTCTTGCGGTGGAAGTCGATAGATACTTTTCCTTGTTGTTCTTTTGACGAGAGTTCCACTGCCGAAAGTACTTGACTTCCTCTCACAAAGAGCAACACAAAACAGAAAAGCGAGAAACAAAACAAGAACCCTATCACCTGATACTACAAGCACCATCACACCAACCAGCATGATGTCTTTGAGTGCATTGCAAGGAGCAACCATTGTCTTTGGACACGCCGTTTTCACTAGAGTTCTTTTGAGTTTCACTTTGAGGACCTATCAGTACCTCGAATGGGATACCAAGCGCAAGTCTCAGATTGAAACCAATGCCATTGTGAAGGAGTATCAAAAGGCGATCTCGAACGAAGGAGAATATGCTGCCTTGATTGTGGCACCTCTATTGTTCCTTGCCGCTACCACGTCGGGTGGTGATGATGGTCTCTCGCAGGCTGCGACGGTGACAGCTTGGAGCCAAGTTGCCTATGTCTGGGTTCGCACAGCGATTGGCTATCCCAAGGTCCCCACCATTGTGGTTGCCGTGACGAGGTACGCTGGACTTGCTTTGATTGCGGCGGAGATGTACAAGGCGGCCTTCTGAGCAACGGGGCCGATTATATGCAGTACAAGGAGAATATAATCATCGACAATAGCAAGAGAAGAATAGTCACACTAATACAAATACCTCATGTCAAGCCAGTCGGCTCTTAGATGTACTTTGTGCCATGTCTAATTCTACCGCTACGACTGTAGCTCGCATCTAGCTAGGCTGTCAAAAGGAGGGAATCCATTGCAAGCAAAACCTTTCCTGAGACTCAGAGCTGATTCCTCTCCTTGGTTTATTAGGACTATCCCACGCGGGCCCTAAACTCGCACTGATCCGCTCCGCCTCCCAGGTACATACCGTACTATTATTCGCCTAGCTAGTACCGGTGGCCGTATTGGCCAATGCTTTGCACAGCATTATTATTGTTATTGGTACGTCAGTGGTAGCGTCACCGCAAGGAGGCTGAAGGCGCGGCATTGGCACCAACACATCAATTGGCATTGTCGGGCCGCCGATATTGACCTCCTCATGACCAACCCTCGCCTCGCCCCCCTCGCTCCTTAACGTATCTATTTAGTATTTATTATCTCTCTGACCAACCTTCTCGGCCTGCCACTGGAAATTGGAGTCCATATTCTCAAGCACTAGCTAGCTAGCTAGAATTGATTGTGGTAGCCAATCGCGGGCAACAATAGATCACTGGTTTGCTGCCGCACTGCATGGTGCCCATCCTATAGGTACGAAACCAGTAGAGGACAAGCACAAAAACAAACGACGGGAGCTCCAACGAATGTCATTCATTGTTGTGGTACAAGTCCTTGTTCACTAATAACTTCGGCCTCGGTTCACTGACGGTATCTCCACAATTTAAGATGAAGAAAAAGTCCTCATGTGGTTTGTTGGTTTGTTTCTTTTTCCAGAAGGCAGCAGCCTTTCATTTGCCGCTGGCTCCGCATTGCCAACGTAGTAGGCCAATACATCGGTTACCGTTCCAACCCGCTCGCGGGAACATCGGTACAAGGACGTCCCGTTGTGTGGCAGGCATTCCTTCCCACTGCAAGAAACGCAAATCCAGAATGAGAGCCACGGAAAACAATGACGACCACCATGAAATAATCTCACCTTCCACAATAGACAAAAAGCAAAGCCGACTCTGGTTAGCACCTCTCTGGACTGTGATTGCCAGCATCCTTGGTGTGGCTCCACCCACACGGTCTCTCATCCAATCCACTCTTGGGACCATTCCACCCCTCCAATCCGCTCTGGCGCTTTTGATGTTGTCCATGGGTTTGACCATTACTCCTCAAGACCTAACAGCGGCGACACGACAATCCAACATTGTCCTGCTCAATATGGTCGCGTGTTTTGGAATGATGCCCTTGCTGGCCGCCCTGTTGGCCAAAACATTTCAGTTGACCCCGCCACATGCGATTGGAACCATTTTGCTGGGATGCGTCAGCGGAGGTCAAGCGTCCAATCTGTTTGCGCTCTTGGCCGGCGGGGATGTCGCTCTCTCGGTGGTTTGCACCTTTAGCACCACGGTGGTGGGAGTGTTGGCGACGCCTCTTTGGATTCAATGTCTCTTGAAAACGACAGTCCCCATTCAAGCCACGGCCATGTTGCGGTCGATTGCTTCGTTGGTCTTGATCCCGCTGACAAGTGGGTTACTTCTGGGTTACGCCCTCTCGCCCAAACTCCTGCATCCCATTCGAAGACAATGTCCCAACGTGGGATTGGCAGCCACCATGGTGCTGGTAGCGGGAGGTGCCTCCAATGCATCATCACTGACGACGACGATTGGTTGTTCCGCCGTGGCCATGTCCTGTCTACTCCCCGTGCTGGGAGGTGCCGTGACATTGGGAATGGCGCGTCTGTTGAGACTATCGAACGAAGCGTCCGTGCGAACCTTGGTCATTGAAGTGTTCTCGAAATCTCCAACGTTGGCTCACGTCCTGGCGTTACGACATTTTGGTGGAGCGGCGGCGGCTATTCCAGCCGTCGCCATGGTCTCGTTGGCACTTTTAGGGGCTCTGGTGGCAGCCGTTTGGCAATCTGTGGATCCGCAATGATGATGAGGATGAGCATTTATTATTATTTGCAGAGAAGCAAACCGACGATGCGCAACTTTGACTTGTTGACGACCGACTACGAGAGATTCGTGATCCTTTGTCAACACCATTGAGCTATGGATTCATATGCAGCTCGAGGCCATCTTGGCACATGCCACCCCCGCGGGCGCAACTTTTGCGCAGCAATCAATCAACGAGGAAAGTGGTTTCGCCAGCGGACGGTGGGATTCGATGCTTGTGAAATGATCCAGCTATGCAAGGTCACCCTCTTTTGTAAGGTATCTTCGCGGATCATTTCCCTACTTCCTAAATCTCCTCTCTCACCGACTACAAAGCAAACAATGCGGAAGAAAAAGAAACGACACAGCCGATCAGAACAGACGACAAGTCAGCGATGCATCAAATGTGAGGCACTTCTTTCTCTCTCCCTCTCTCTCTCTCGGCTGCTGGTGTGGTGGCATCTGGTTCTAACGAAAGAACGACTACCAAAGCAAAGATGGCCGACGAGGACAATTTAGCCAGGGCTTGGCATTGGTGGCACGAGCAAATTTGGGGTGTGACGGTCCCCAGCACAAGCTTCCCACAATTTACGATTCGTCACTGTTGGGAGTTCGAGCGAGTGGTTCCCTTGAGCATTGAAGTGGACCCAGTGTGAGTGTTGCAAAATGATGCAATCAATCCAATAAGGAATCATGAAGATGTTTCGAATAATGGTGAAGAACAATGAAAACAGAAAGTCAAACGTGCGGAAAACCCCTTCAGAGGCTTGGTCAAAACCGGTCAGAGGCTTGGTCCTCAAAAAGGAGGTCGGGGTGCCATCTTTGGGCACAGTTCCTCCGACTCCTCGCGAAAGGGGGCTTAGCAAGCTAGTAGCAACCGCTCCCGCACTGCGAGCTGCTGAAAGTCCGAGGTAATTTGTTTCCATTTCGCACCCTGGCTACAGGTGCTGCCCCCTTCACAGCAGTCCTTGTGAACAGCACATTAAATGTAGGAAGCGATCACGAGAGGAAAGTAACCCGTGAACTTGGCATGTGACTTGTTCAAAGTAGTTCAATTTATAGGATTGGAAGTCGTCGTTTCCAAGGAAGCCGTCCGTCAGGTTGTGCAATGTGTCTCTGTGAAACCAGTTACCAAGCGGAGGAGGCGAAAATGATGCCATTTTCTCGAACAGGTCGAACGGGTATTGTGTGCTATCGAACCATGCCACAGGACCCCTTGAAGCTGGCTAAGCGTCGACGGGAAACTAAGTTGTTTTCATGTGGGCACATCAGATATGTATGAAGCGCCCAACTATCAATACGCACATGCATTACGATCGTTTTTGCCTCCCCACGTCCCCCATTATAACTGAGACATTTCCGAAAAGAATGATGTATCAGCTCCAGATGTTCCTAGGGGGTTTCCTTTTGCCAAACCAGGCATCTGCATGCGACTTCGCTTGTTATGCCGACGCTGCATTTTCTGTACTTCCTCTTCTCCCTTTTCCTTGATATTGGACAACCGAAGCATTGCCAGCTTCATCTTTTCTGATTTTGGTAGAGCATCCCATTCCTGGTTTACTTCTTTGAATTCTTCTCCACAAGCATTCAGGAAAGCAAAGAAGTCAATCGGGTCCACATAGCCAGTCCCATCCATGTCCATGGCATCCCAAAGCCTGTTAAAGTCTTGCTCGCTTAGAAAGTCCAAGTGCAAATCGTTCATCCATTTTGCCAGATCCTCCTTGCTGATGAGACCATCTTGGCCACCAATGTGCTGGAAGGCTTCTGAGAGTTTTTGAGCTGATATTTCTCTGGCACTCTCACCAATGTCAATATTCCGAGCTAGTTGTTGGATGAATCTCTTTTTCATGCGCCTTTCCTGTTGCTTAAGTTGGCGCATGTGATATACCATTCCAACTGCCACCACCAGCAAGACTGGGGTAAGTGCAATGGCAACAATTGCAGCAACAGGCAAGCCCCCCTGATCAAGCTCTGGAAACTGAACATATCCACATTCCTTTCCTGTACCCCCATGCAAGGTGTAGAGATGGCTGGTACTCCCTTGTCCATTGGGGCAGTACCCATAAGGGTCTTCTGGAAAACATGCCATGAGAGCTTGAATCCAAAAGTTTAGAGTCCGCACAAGAGAGTCTGGGAGATCATTTCGTATCCCAAAAGCAAAAGCATTAAGGCCATACTCTAATGGCTCTCCAATGACTCCAATGGGCTTTCCATTGGCTAAGCATTTATTGTCGTTGTATAGCTTGAGCACCCTTTGTTTTAGGATTGGAAATGAACCAATGACGATTTCACAAGTGCCATCATCCATCACAGCATGGAAGTCATCAGTCAAGGCTATTCCATGAATATCCAGTTGAGGGAATGTGAGGAGTAATAGCTCAAAAAAGGCAGTTCCACTGAAGGAACAGACGGCATACTTGTTGTTGGAAGCTACCAGATCATGAATGCTGCGGATATGAGTGGCTGTTCCCATCATCCCCGTGGTTGCCCTGTCAGGTGGCGCATAGGGAATGGTGAATTTGTTGACCTTGAGGCGTGCTGGAGTTATGTAGTAGATTCCCCAATACATATCTGTCGAGTATTGCGTCAATGGACGATCATTGACTTCGGATTCACCACATAGAAATTGTCCATGGTACCTTGGGTGATAAGCCTCTGGGTGGTCTGATATGGTTGGATAGGTTTCATTCAACGTCAATCTAGGCTTGCAAAGAGACCCGAAGCCACTGGGTGGAGTCAATTCATAGGTGAAGTTGGCCCTGTGAGGTTTTGCCAATTCCTCGAGAATGTCAATCAGATAGCCAGAATATTTGAGTTTTCCAGTGCTGGGATCCTCGTTGATGTCCACATATCCAGAGTATTCTACTGCAGTGATTCGAAAATGTTGTCCTGCTAGACTGGGATCCTCCCTAGCAGGGATGCTGCTAGTATTAACAGCTAATACTGGTATACCGGTAGGCGGGAACTGGGTACCACTGCTGTTGATGGCTGCAGCAGCGTTGACGGTAGAAGCCTCTTGGGCTTCGGCACTGGCCACAGCCAATCCAGCGAAGAGGACCAAGCAACGGATCAATACAGAGGTCGCCATGTTTGTTTATAACCTGTGCTGATTGATTGTCCCAACATTGCACTTGATGCTTTTCTGTGCTGCTGCCCTTTTACTGTGAGTACTCTGGTACAGAAAGAGAGAAGAGAGTACACTCCAAACTCAATAATAAGAAAGCTCTAACTGGGAGTCAGTACTCGAGCTTTCTTACTCATCTGGTCTATTTTGCTACTCACATTATTTCTAACACAACAAGCCAATTTCAGTATAGATGACTTTCTTACAAAGCTTCTAGATCAAACAGGTTAGTTCTTGGATACACCAAGTGCACCTGGCCCTTTGGGACCAACTTGCTCAGGAATATTCATTGGTTTGGGTCAAGTGCAAATGGTGATCACTGTCTCTGCCGTGAGGCAGAAAATTTTGCAGATTTAGGCACAAGTTAGGAGCATTTTCATGGTGTCAGACTAGTAGAGTTTCTTGTGCTTTGAGGTCTCAATACTGGGAGGTTTTCTTAGAAGTCAGTGATATTTCAGTATAAAAAGATTCTTATCTTTTTCTAAAATCTGAGTACTCGCTTTCTTATTTGGAGTTTCTTACATTCAGGTTTGGAGTGTAGTGCTCATGTGCTCATTGGTCTAAGGGAGAAGTTGTAAGATGATGATACTATTGATTTATTGGCATGGAACAACTTTTACACTTTTACCTTACTGGGGAATGGAAAATAAATCATTTTCTTGGTTTGATGGAAGCAGAAGACTCAAGGGGATAGAACAGTGTACACGCAAGCATTAGAACAAAACGATGAACACGGAACACGGAAGTAAAGTAAAGTTATCCGAACGGCTCCTTGTTGAAGTGGTAGCGTACGTACTCGTACGGTGTACGCTGCCGTAGAGGCATTGCTGGTAGCTTTCCGGTTTCTGGGGACATGCAATAGCTCCAATATCGAGGCAATGATGGTTGTGTTGTCTCATGCTGAGCTGAAAAGACTTCGTGCTTCTTGTGCAGCTCCTCCTCTGAATGTTGACGGCGTTGGAGCTGGTGTGCAAGACTTGAAGTGAGGAGCAACGAAAGGTGCCTGTGTTTGGAGCCGGTTTTGGAGGTGCCGGTGTTGGCACTCGACTCCGAGCTGGGATTCGGATTTCGAGGAGTCTTCGTCTCAGAGATGCGGGTGGCGCATCTCTTGACCGCTATCTCGTCTCCATCCCATACTAGTACCGTTGGGCGTCATTGCCCGGGTTCGAGGCTCCTCGTCACATCTTGCTGACCGCCCAGCCCATCCACTCCTTCAACGTAACAGAGGTCATCTCAATCCTCGTCATCATTGCCATTGGCTCCATGTTGCTCGTGGCCGTCATCTTGATTGCCTCATCCAGTACATAGCGATTCGATTCTGGTTGAAGTGGTCAGTACCTGGACCGACATTTGTATTTTTACCCCAATACCCTCCAGAATGATTCATGTAATACTCGGAAAGAAGTTATATAACTCCAAGGAGTATTTTAATTCGAAGAGTTCTTCTATAAAACTGGAGTAAATACAGGAGGTTCTTAAAGTTTTTAATGAAGCAATTACATAACAAACCACGGACAGACTTAACGTAAGATAAGTAACCCACTTATGTATGTTAACAACGTTAACAACTGACCCACGAAAACTCAAGCTCTCTATGTGTGATGCCTGTACCCAAAAGTGCCGCCACCAAACACCACACCACCAAACACCCACTTCTGAATGTTGCCTTCTTCTCTTATCTAATCAGCTTGACCCACTGCCAGCTTCCCTAAAGTAGCAAATAATCCACTTCTCTAGGCGTCTTCAGAGTATGATCGTACCGTATGTTGTGTGTGCGAACTAAGGCAAAACTTCTCCTTTACCCAATTCTCTTTTGCAGCGCCGGTATTGAGCTACCAGCTATCAGCAATATTGATCCTCTTTGTGCTTGAAATGCAGCGCATTCCGATTCAATACCCGGGTCGACATTCGAGTCTCCCGACCAGCAGGGTGGAAGGTGTGCAAGGTGTGCAAGGTGCAACTGAATGACTGAGAGTCACTCAATCAGCAAGCAAATGTAGCACGGAGAGATGTTCTTGGTTGATAAAGTAAAGATTTAACAAAAGGATAGTTTGGGAAAAGCCTAGACTCTGATCTGAATACTAATTATAGTACCCACTATTATTAAATTATGGGATTTTATCCGGTTAGTACGGGGAGAAATGAATTCATATCCCTCTAGCGAAGTAATCCGAGCTGTCATCTTGGACTTTGAACAAGAATGTGTAACCCCGAAGCTTCGTAAGCCTTGTCATTGCCTTTTCCAGTCGTAGCTCAGAAAAAGAGTCCAGTCTTTTGCAACCATTGAAGTCCAGGTGCAACACCTCAAGGTTGCTGAGGGCGCCCAGCTCTTTCCACAAGGCATTGGCACAGATGAGGTTGTCGCAGAATACGCACTTGATACTCAAGGTGCGGAGATTCTGCAATCTTCCAAGCCCAATGGCAAATTCATGCGACGTAGTGAAGGGGATCCTTGAAAAGTCAAGACTCAAATGATCCAGCGTATGGGGGAGGGCCATCGCAAAATGCCGGGCTTGAAACTCAAAGCAACCTTCGAAGGACAAGTGAAGCTCTGTAACGTTTGATGCTCCAAGCGATGTTCGGATTGTATTGAGGACGCCTTTGCCTGCTCCTGCTAACGCTGCGCCGCGTATTGCAGACACCGCGAAGTTTTCATTCAACAGAGCATTCAATTCGTCATATTTTTGATGCTGTCGTGGGGGATCCTCAGAGGAAGACTTCTCACCATGGTTCCCCACAATGTGATGCAATATGCGCCTCCGGTCGAACTCTCGAGAGGCTTCTGCTTCTTCAAGGCGCACCTCCAGCGCTTTGAGACAAAGATGGAGCGGAAATCGGATTCGATAATAGTTTTGAAGATAATGATTGTAGTTATACCTGTAGTCGTGTCGTCGGGAGCCGCGAAGACCGACCGCTCTTCTGGTTTCAGTATCATCAAGGGTGAGTGCATAGGAGTCGTAAGTGTGCTGAGACAGAGCCACAAAGATTTCAAAGGTGCACCAGATTCGTTTGTAGGCGATGCCTTCATCGTCCAGTATCGAAACGATTTTCTTTGCCCGGTTCATTGCATTGTAGAAGGGGCTGTCCTGTACTGGGGCATAGTCACTGATCTCTGTGTCGAGATCGTTTTGTCGCAAAGCACAGGCGGAAACCCAATAGAATGCCGACTCTTCATCGAGATTATAGTCATATGCGTGTTGCTCCAAGCATGCCACAAAGTCCAAAACAGGTGCCTGCCAACTGTGGGATACATACCAGGTTGAGACTTGCTCGATCTCTGCCACCAATTCAACGTAGCTGCACTTGTAAGGCTTTGTCAGGGGGCGTATGTAGTGGTGCAATAGGTCGTAGAAAGTCACATCTTCTGGTCTCAAAGGGTGCGCTCCCTTGCTTTTTGGATCTGTGCTAGTCCATCTCTCTGTCTCGCAACATTGTATGATTGTTGCCGCAAGCCTCTTCAGCTGAGACAAGGAAATGGCTCGATTTTCGGCCAGCGGTATAGGAAAAGGGCAAAACTCCTTGTACATCAAATCAATGCTCTGCCGACCCTCAGGAATAGCCATACAATGCACAACAGAACCCTCCTGAATATCACAATCAGCGATTTGATCCTCTACCGTTAGTTCCCGTCCGCGAAACATGAGGAACTGGGTTTCCACGGGTATTTTGGTCTTTCGCGCGATGGTCTGCTTCAATTCAAAGAGTGTGATCGTGCTTGCGGTCCGATACCATGGCATGGTTTCGCCAGACAATGTGCGGACGACAAAGGCATAGGGTGAATCCATGACCTTCAGTAGTGGTTGGAATGTCCTCTCGCAGACATTGGGCATTACTTCGCGTAGACGGACAAAGCCATGCAGCTCTGCGTCCCCATGGGCTAACCTTTGAATCTTCATGGGCAAACCAGTCTTGCGTTCAATGAGTCGTTTCATGCCATCCACAGTATCATATGGAGCCAGCGCAACTTCGAGAGATACGTATTCGTTCGAATCTATCTTTCCAGTCTCACCTTCTGTCGGATTTTCGACATTGCACTTGAAAGAATCAACCTTGTTGTGTCTGGACAACAACTTCAATGGGATCACAATGATGCAGTGGATCAGCAGGACTGAGATTTCGGAAACTCGGTATCGATAGGGGAAGACCCCCATGAATGGCTCGGGTTCTGTTGTTGCACCAGGGCTAATCCCCTGCAATACGTGCAATGAGCCGATATCTTGGTTCAGAGTATTGAATAATTGTTCTGTGGAGATGGCTTCGCTGTTCCAACCGTCCGGGAGGTGCAAGACCCGCCAACCATTGATCACAAAAAACAAGTGACCCTTTTGGAACGTGGAACCAGAGAACGAGGGAATCCGCTGGACCCCCCGCAGCAAGTCGCCCACTGTCATGCACGCACATACTGGGATTGCGGCCGTCATGCGCTGTCCGTCCTTTCGCAGAAAGTGCACTTGTAGCAGCCGGAACTGGGCATCTTTCGGAAGTTTTTCATCCCAAAACGTTTTCCAGTATTCTTCCCTTGCATCGGAAGCACAATATCTTAGATATCTCTCTGCTGTCCCACATGCAGTGGTCGTCACGGAGGAATAGTCTTGAAGTAGAATGCCTACTGTCGCATTGCTGTTTTTCGGTTCCGTGCCAGAGTTGTTTTCGCTTGCTTCTTCTTCTTTAGGGCGCCGCCTTCGCGCATTCCACCACCAATCCATGCCCAACTTCTTTCTTGGAAACTTCATGGCAACGTAAAGCAGTGATGATCGAAATTGGTTTTTAATTTTTAATGTAAGCTGGGTGCCTCTATGCTTGTTTGCTAACTCAGATTATGCATGCTCGTACCGGTGCAGCACCACAGTAACTCACAAAGTTAGGAATTTCAGTCAGTCAAGCCATGTGTCGAGTGAATAACCAGCCAGAAGACCGCCATGCACAACCCACACAGTCCCCCCCTCCCAGAAGTTACCTTTCGAGCATTGCGTACAGCATGCATGTTGGCCGTCTTTGATGTAGTGCCGTATGCAGAGCTGTATGAAGTAAGTAGTATTGCAGACGTGTTTTTAAACAATAAAAATAATGGGACAAGTAAGGGCATTCTCTAATAGATTCGTTCGTCCTAAAATTCGTTCTAAATCTATTTTAGAACGAATTTTTAGGACAAAAGCAATCTTTAACTCGAATTTGTCCTAAATTTCGTCCTATTTTTAGGACGAATTTTATTTTCTCGTCTTATTTCAGAAAAATAGGACGAATTATTTCGACTCGTCCTAACACTCGTCTTAACATGACCTCTAAATCCTTGAGTCTCCTTTGATGACATCACAGGCCATCGAGTCAACATGACTGAGTGAGTTAACAAGACTGAAAGATTGCAGCGCTACTGAAGCTAGCTAGCTAGGGTAGCTACCGGTACCCAGATAACAAACTCCAACAGCTATGGTATACTACAGAGGTTCTTCGTGGGAAGCAGAGGTGCTTTGTGGGAAGCTCCTAGCCTCACTATCAAGACCACTTTAATAGGCCGATAGAGGAGAGGTGCCTGCAGGACGAGTTTTGAGACCAGCTTTTTAGAGACTGAAACTCGTCCGTCCTAAAACTCGTCCTATCTTAAGTCTGGTTTTAGAACGAGTTTTTTAGAGATTGCCAATTCGTCCCAAGAATAGGACGAGAAAATAGGACGAGCAGTTAGGACGAGAAAATAGGACGAGAATGAGTAGAGAATGCCCTAACAGTGATAAAAATAAGATATTTACGGTTCTCTGGCTGGAGCAGCTTCGCTTCCTGCACCCGGGAACTGTAGCTAACAGTGTGCTTATCAGGCAGGGCAGGGGCACGGTAGGGGCACGGCAGGGGCACGCAGAGCCAGAGTATTTGGAGCTCTCAGCCAAGACAGAACGTCGGAGGCAGGCAGGCAGGCAGGCAGGCAGGCAGGCAGGCAGGCAGGCAGGCAGGCAGGCGGCAGGCAGGCAGGCAGGCAGGCAGGAGGCAGGCAGGCAGGCAGGCAGGCAGGCAGCAGGCAGGCAGGCAGCAGGCAGGCAGGCAGGCAGGCAAACAAGACAAAAACAAATACTCCAGTACCCTGCATTTGTTGAAGGCTTGTTTGCGGCAAAGGAAGCCACTCCAGATACGGCGTGCGTCTAACTTGAGAACTTGTACTCTTTATTTAAAAAGATGTCATTCATGCCCAAGCAGCCAAAGCCCAATGAACACATACCCACATGTAGACGGCCTAGCTGGTAGGAATTATAATCAATAATTCGAAAGATTGAAAGATACGACGTTGTACATGATAAAGCTTCACTCGCATACCTACCTGCCATAGCTTTGTCAGTTCCCAGGTGAGGACCTTCACTGGCTGAAGGCTGAAGAACCAGCTCTAGCTAGGACGAGGTGTGGGTGGGTCTACTAGCTAGCTAGACTACCGTAGCTCTAGCTAACTATTGTAGTAGATTGTGCGAACTCCATTATGGTACCGGTCCTCCACTCGCAGACACGGTTTCCAAAGTTACCATGTTCCCGTAATAGTACGGTTCGGCCACAACTAACTGGGATCAAAGCCGCGACCAAGATGACTATTGGCGATGCACCTTCGAGATCGTAGACATTTACTTACTGCGATTGAAGTCACAAGAGAAAGACTGTCACACTTTCATGCGTCAGTGTCTGTTCCCAAAGACAACAGGGGCTTAAAGCAGTCTTAGACATACTTGTAATCTTGGATAACCTGTTAAATGAAAAGACAAGAAGAGGTACTCTAATTTGTCCAGTGTAGATGTCTTCAAGAAGATATTAAATCTATTGGTTCATTACGACAATGAAGAGCTCAATGATGTTAAATGAGTAGAGTTTCTCATGACTTTTCGGTGACTCCCGTACTAGATGCCCCTTAAATCCGACCACCTTCAACACCAGACTGAACGGTACTGGTGGCTGGTGGTGTCAACGCAAAAATTGGAGAGAAACGCAAAGGTGGACAACAGCCAGTGCACTACCACCGGTATCATTGTTGTTGGAGTTTGGGTGTCCTTTACAGTATCATCTTTTATCCAGCTCGTCACCAGCTAGCTAGCACCATGCCCCTCCCTCGAGCCCGAACAACCAACTCGGTTCCGTCGAGGAGGCACCTGATGCGAGATGCGAGCTCTCGACGCAAGAATTTCGTGGCGGCTGCCAAGCAGGACAAGTTAAAGGAGGAGGAACAGCAGCAGCAGCAGCAATCATCGTCACCATCACCCCCCATCCCAATGTCGGGCATTCCCCAAAACGGTGGTCGCACCGGTGCCATGGCCAACCAACGGTCTCAACGCTCACGTCGTTTTCGTGTAGGTTCCGCTGCCGCCGCTCTGAAATCGAATCTGCACAAGATTGTGTCGTCCAAAGACCGTGGAGTGCCCGTGGGCGACAGCAGCGATCATCGACGTCGCAGTGAAGCACTCTCGCGACGCAGTGGTGGCGGTGGATCCACTCGACGGTGCATGACGACTGACGCGAGTTTTCGTCGGTCGACAGGAAATTCGGACTTGCCGCTTTCGGAAATTGCCGAGATTGCCAAGGAGGAGTTGTTTAGTATGGCTGAAATTGACGTGTCGTGGTTTGAAAATAAGGATGGAGAGGCTACACAGGTCGAGGACGCGATGGACGGTAGTGCTCCAAGAGCAGCTGAACAGACTCCAGGAGCCAAAGAAATTCCCAAGAGTCCCGGCGTGTTGCTCGCTCCGCCGCCCAAAGACACGTCCAAAGAAGACGCACGTAAAAAACGCATTTCCGCCGAAAAGGACGTGATGAGACGGGGCAGCGGCAATCACAAGAGTCCCAAACAACACTCTCGGATTGCCCGTTCCCTGAGGGCGCCATCGAGTCGCAAACTACTTGGGGCGAAGCAACCCAGTATACGAGTGCGGAGTTCGGGCACAATGGAACACAACAATGGCAGACCCACGCGGAGCAAATCAATGGACATGACGTCCGCCATAAATAATGACAGTGCTAGCCCTCGGAGGTCAAACTCCTCCAAAAGTAAAGAACCGGAACCGGCGCAAAACAATATTGATCTCTTGTCCATGTCCATTGACGACATTGGAGTGGACTACAGCAATCATCACGCACCACAACCACCCAACAACAAGACACAACAGACACCCGTCACACCAAGAACGCTTCGACGCAAACGTAATCCACCCAAAAAGGTACAGGATGCACTTTCCATGTCCATTGATGATATTGGCGTGGATTACAGCAATCATCACGCACCCCAACCACCAAAGAACAACACACAACAGACACCCGTCACGCCAAGAACGCTTCGTCGAAAGCGCAACCCACCCAAAAAACAGGAGGAGGCACTATCCATGTCGATTGATGACATTGGTGTGGATTACAGCAATCACGCACCCCAACCACCAAAGAACAACACACAACAGACACCGGTCACGCCAAGAACGCTTCGTCGAAAGCGCAACCCACCCAAAAAACAGGAGGAGGCACTATCCATGTCGATTGATGATATTGGTGTGGATTACAGCAATCACGCACCCCAACCACCAAAGAACAACACACAACAGACACCCGTCACCCAAGAACGCTTCGTCGAAGCGCACCACCAAAACAGGAGGAGGCACTATCCATGTCGATTGATGATATCGGTGTGGACTACAGCAGCTGTGATCCAAAGGGTAAGAGAACCCATGGTAACAATGCTACAGACAAGACCAATGCACCCACAACACCAAAGAATCCTCGGCGAAAGCGTAATCCGCCCAAAAAGGCACAGGACGCACTGTCCATGTCGATTGATGACATTGGAGTGGATTATAGCAGTCATGCATCACAACCAAAAGCAGCAACCAATACGGCTGCACCAGTCACACCAAAGACACTCCGTCGAAAACGCAATCCACCCAAAAAGGTAAAGGATGCACTATCCATGTCCATTGATGACACTTGGAGTTGACTACAGCAGTCATGCACCACAACCCAAAACGGCTCCCACAGCAGGCAGCGACACTGACAAGACGGGTGCACCAGTCACACCAAAGACACTCCGTCGAAAACGCAATCCGCCCAAAAAGGTACAGGATGCACTATCTGGGTCCATTGATGATATTGGTGTGGACTACAGCAGCCTGGATCCAACGATTAAAACAAGCCATGGCAGCAACACCGAAAATGGAGACGAACCAGTCACGCCAAAGACACCGCGGCGCAAACGCAATCCATCGAAAAAGACACCGAAACAGGGACGACCTTCTCTGCTCAAGGCTCAATCGCTGTCAGCATTTGGCAGCAGTCCCCGTCGAATGACATCATTGACAGCAGGTAGCAACACTGAAAATACGGATGCACCAGTCACACCAAAGACACCCGGTCGAAAGCGCAATCCATCCAAAAAGACACCGGGACGACCTTCGCTGCTCAAAGCTCAATCGCTGTCAACCTTTGGCAGCAGTCCCCGTAAAATGGCATTTACCGAGGTCATCACGGAACCACTCAACACGGATGAGCTCTTCTCCATGTCCATTGATGACATTGGCGTCGACTACAGCAGTTTTGTACAACAAGAACCACCAAGAAAGGGCAAAAAGTCAACCATGGGCGCGCCACTCACTCCGAAGCAAGAGTTGCCACGACGCAAACGCAATGCCTCCAAGAAGAATGGTGTCAACAATGCGGAGCAAACAAACAACGAAGCTGATGCGGGCACGGACAACGAGACGACAGCACTCTCTCCCAACGTGCCTCGACGCAAACGCAACGGCTCCAAAAAGGAAGGAACCGCCGACAATACAGATGACCAGACGAACAATGCCGATCCAGTAACTCCCAAGAAAACAATGAAGGAGTTCCGAAGACGAAGGTCCTGTGGTGGTGGAGCTGGGGCAGAGACGACGACTCCTCGACGCAACCGCAGTGGTTCCAGAAAGGCACGAGTACGGTCAGAAAGTGTTCCTGCGAACGAAAATCCAACGACAATGGAAGCCACCAGCAAACACATGGTGGAACCAGAATCCATGCCTCTGGCAACCGAAGTGTCAGTGGCATGCTCGGATACCGATGATGGCGAGGTGATTGCTGTCGTAGTGGCAGCTGAGCCCAGCACTTGCAGCAAGAACGAAGGAGCGTTCTTGTCCAAGACGGAACCAGTGGAAACAACTTGGGTTTGTCTTTGCGGATTTGTGTCTGAGAAACGAAAGTTGTTTTGTGGCCTGTGTGGCACAAGGCAAACGTGGACTTGCAGCGAATGCAAGTCCAAAGACAACATGTGCAATTATTCATTTTGTGCATCCTGCGGCACAAACAAGCCGGGTAACGGGTGCGGCAATCCTCAGGAGCGGTGCTGTCCTGCTCCTCATCATGAAGGAGGACAACCAGAAGTGGCTAGTTCTCCGGCGTCCATACTGGTTGCTACATCTTTATAATAATAAAAGAACAAGTGTAGCTATAATACTTGTAATGATGTACCTTTCTCTTTTGCTAGCTAGCCAGCTCTCCTGAATTCAATCCATAATAATCAACAAGAGAGGAGGATTGGACTACGCGACTACACTACATAGTAACTAAAAGTTCGCTGGAGCAGGCAGGCAGCCCATCCCTTGGCACTTTTAGCCTGTTGCAAGCAAGATGAACGTTCATCTGACATCAACTTCTTCACTGGCCACAGTTACTAGACTACATCATGACTACATGAACTCAGCGATGGACTCGTAGCTAGTGAACGGGGTGTTTTGTCTTCAGACCTTCTTTGTCGACAAATCCATTGTGCAGAGGACAGAGGCTTTCTCCTCCCGCCTCCTACCCCGAGCTCGCTCCTGCTTCTCCTGCTGCTTATGATGGACCAGCTGATAGACCGCAACAGTTGCCAAAATAGCTGCTGAAATAGAGCCTAGATCTTGGCCAGTAGTTTGGGAAAGGACGAAGTCTACAATCAATACTGTAACTTTGGCCATTGGTTTAGAGAAACAGGAATTCTTGATTTCTTTGCAATGGTGGGGGCCTTGTACAATACTTCAGTAGTTTGGGGACGAAGGCTTCAATCAAAATAACTTTGACCATTGCGTTAGAGAAACCTGTACCGGTATTCCTGGTCGATTCTGTGCAATCTGGGTTTTACGGAGAAATAAAGTCCAAGATCACCCCTGCGTGAGAGGGCGAAAATTTAAAAATGAAGCTGCACAGCTGGGATTCCAATAATAATTCTGCTTTTACGGACCGCCGCACACACAAGTAAAGGTAGCTTAGGTAATTTGGATATTGAATATATTGAAATACTCCAGTAAAATTTGAAATTAGAAATGTACTTTGCCTCATCTACCTGAATTTCAAATTGCTTCTTTTCTGTTGATAGTGGTTGCACCTACTGAGACAACAGTAATGACTTCTGTTAATTCGCTTGTGGGTGAACTTGCTCCTTTCTTCGTACCGGTTATTTTCGATCAAGGTGAACTTCACAAATCTCACTGGTATTAAGCAAAAGGCGACTGGTACTCCTCCAGCCGTAGCTGTACATGTTGTACAGGGGGGTAGGGTGTAGGGTAGCAGCATGTACGCATGAACCGGCACAGCGCTACACATAGATCCAAGATCCAACATACATCACTGCATACTTATACTTCTTCAAGATTGAATCATTCGATTCTCATTCTCTACCTTTTTGTCCCACGGTAGAAAATTGTCCAATAGTACTCTTGGCTAGTGTACGAAGGTCGCGTAAGACCGTGTTCCTGAATTGCCACAGTGAGGTCACAGGTGGCATTCGAATTCTTGGTCGAAGAAGCAATGCCCTGAATGTCTTGTCTGGCTACTGGTTGCAATAGCTCGTAGCTTAGCTACAGTATCGATGATAGCCCTGAAGCGCAAGCATCCCGAGCCAATGCCTCTCCCTCTGGCAGCTCACAAATTAGTTTTAATCCTGCACACAACCTTTCTCCACATCCCGGTCACAATCCTTTCAGCATCCCGGTGGCAGAGCTACTGAAACATTTTCCAATAGCAACACCAACACTTCCATTGATAAAAAGCGGAACACCTCAGAAGCAAAAGGCAATCAACCAACCATTCTACTAGCTAGGTTACCTTTATCAACCATCAGGTCATCTACAGCTGCAGCTTGCTAGCTAGCATTGTGCAACCATTCCACTTTCTACCCACCGATCACAGTTTGATACCTTTTTCTTGCATTCCACCCACAACCTGAAGAACACTTACTTACTAACTTGACCATGTCATCCTTTTTCCGACGCAACACCGAAGCACAAGAAGAAGCTTGGAGGGATGAAGAGCAGGGAAAGTCTTTGGAAGATCATTGCAGCAAGGAGTCGCGTGTGGAAGATGTCAGCATGGACTTGTCCTTCACGGGAAGTTCTGACGACTCGTACCGGTACAGCGAGGATCAGCGAGATGAGATCAAGGAAGTCGAAAAGATGGCTCAAGCCGACACGAAGCGAGTCGCCAGGTGGCGTTTGGCGGCTACCTTTGTCTTGCTCTTGACGGCCTTCTCCGTGACTTTTACATCCTATACCTTTCTCAAGCAAGAGGAAAAGAACAACTTTGAAACTGCGGTACGTACCTATACCTTACGTTCGTTCTAGTCTGGTGCTAGCTATATAGATGGGTACGGTATCTTACTTACACGTGTTTTGCTTCTTACTTGCTTCAACAGTTTGATCAGTTCTCTCGCACCGTCTCGGATGCTGCCCTCGGACAGCAACGGGATATCCGAGAGGCACTAGACTCCCTGAGCACGACTCTCTCTGCCTGGTCCAACAGTGACAAGAACAACGAATCCTTCCCCTTTGTCACATTGCCCAACTGGCAGGCTATCGCCAAGAATACCATGAATCAAGGACACTTCGAGTCTGTGGCCTTTGCACCCATTGTCTTTCGAGGACAAGAGCAAGCGTGGTACAACTACTCCAGTGCCAACATCAACTGGGTACCCGAAGCTCACATGTACGAGTACGGGCACACCGAACGACTCATCCACCCGGTACAATCCTTCCATCCCTACTTTTCCGCTTACGAGTCCTACGGAACAGGACAGTTCCTCGAAGAAACCACGTCCCGACCATTCTACGTGCCCTTTTGGCTCTTTTCTCCACCTCCCATCTCCTACGCGTGGCTCAACGGCAACTACATGGCCAATCCTCCTCTCCGCGAAACCATCAACTCCCTCTTGGCCATGCAGAATGAAACACTGGTCCGCAAAAACGGACGACACAATGGCATTCCATTGGCATTCTCCGAAGAAGAACACGCCCACTACCACTCGACCCTCAAGAATTCCAGCATTCAAAACCCGCACGGCTTTGTCTATCACCCCGTCCACGAGCAAACGGGCAATTCCAGTTCCGGTGTGGCCGGAATCATTAGTGGAACTCATGCCTGGGACGCGGCGCTCCTGAACCTGCTTCCCGAAGGAGTGGCAGGCATCGATGTCGTGATTCGTAACACGTGCAACCAAACGTACACGTATAACCTGGTCGGGCACGACGCCTTTTTCGAAGGGGAAGGCGACTTTCACGACATTCACTACGATGCTTACGAAGTGCCACTCCAGCTTCACTCGTATTCTCATGCCGACTTTGACAACTTTCCCGGGCACTGCCTCTACACCATGGTGCGTTTCGTTGGTTGAGCTGAGCAGCTATGGTTGATGACGGCTTTATACGTCCGTAACCCACTCACACATACATCCATACTCTCTTGACGACAGCACATCTATCCCAGTTGCGTCTTCCAACAGGCATACGATACAAACACCCCCGAAATCTTTGCTCTCATTGTTGCCATCACTTTTGTGTGTGTTGCCCTTGCCTTCTTTATCTACGACAGCACCCAGTCTACGTAAGCATGCATCTTGACGCAAACTCGTTGCCGCAGAAGAAACTGTTGACAATGCATGCACTCATTTGATCATTCCTCTCCTCTCCTCGTGTCTTGTCTTGTTTTGCTTGCAGACGAAACACCAACTTGGTACACAAGGCTGCCCAATCCAATGCTATCCTGACATCGCTCTTCCCAGATACCATCCGCGAACGCCTCATGCATCAAAAGCAAGAAGAGCAAATCGCATCTTCCAAGAAGAAGGGCAACTTGAAAGCATTCCTGCATGGTGACGCTGCTGCTGGTGGAAGCGGCAAGACGCTTGACGGATACCTCGATCAACCCATGGCAGACCTCTTTTTGGATGTGACACTCCTGTTCTCCGACATTTCAGGCTTTACGGCTTGGGCCAGTGTCCGTGAACCAACACAAGTCTTTTTGCTTTTGGAATCACTCTACGGCGCATTTGATAAGATAGCGAAGAGGAGGGGGATTTTCAAAGGTAAATTTTCAGTCCCCCTAATTCATTTTGTTGCAAGCTCTCGAGATCTTTGGGCTCACCGCCACGTTTGCTTTCTTTGTGACAACAGTGGAAACAGTGGGCGATTGGTGAGTCTTCGGGTGGTTCTTTGCTGCACTTTCTGCATGCGCACGAGACCTGAACTTACCCTTTCTTCCTTCGTTCCATACAGCTATGTGGCTGCCTGCGGGATTCCAACCCCACGCCCAAATCATTCTGTAGCCATGTGCCGGTTTGCACGAGAAGTGCTTTCAAAGACAGATGTCCTCCTGAAAGAGCTAGAAGTCATCCTAGGTCCAGATACTGCAGATCTGGGACTTCGAGTTGGCATTCACAGGTACGTTGTGGTTCTTGGGAATGGAGTCAGACAGCTGAAGCTACAAATTGAAGCCTCACAGTGCTCTATCTTTTCTGTACAGTGGTCCTGTGACAGCTGGCGTGTTGAGAGGAGAAAAAGCTAGGTTCCAACTTTTTGGTACGTCTGTTGTTAGTGCTGCATGAGACGGACTTTAATAATACCAGCCTACACTCTTCACTCACTCTTGTCTATTTCATCTTTGCACTTTGAAGGCGACACAGGTACGGCAAAAGATCGATGCAGATGAGCGAAACTGAGATGAAAAGTTCTCAAACACTCTAACTGGTTCTCTCAAATCGTTTGTAGTCAACACTTGCAGCCGCCTCGAATCCACCAGTCGTGTTGGTCGTGTACACTGCTCCAAGGAGACAGCAGAGCACATTGTCAAGATGGGAAAAGAGGCATGGTTGGAGAGACGGTCTGACCCAATTGCCCTGAAGGGAAAGGGCATGCTTGAGACCTTTTGGGTGAATGTTCATGGAGAAAGAGTTCCCTCCGTCGCCTCCCTTCCCAATATGAACAATGAGACTGCAGCAGAAGCTACGCGCAATGACATTGTAAAGCACTGCAAGCCCTTACCTGGTCTTTCAGAGAAAACTCATCGTTTGGTAGATTGGAATGTTGAGATGCTGCTTAGAATCTTGAAGCAAATTGTTGGTGCCCGGGCTGCAGCTACAAAACACACTATGCGTTTGTCGTCCCAATCAAGGTCACGACAAGTCCAAAAGCTGCAGCTATCGTCCAATCCATTGGATGAAGTGAGGGAAATCATCATGTTGCCTGAATTTCAGAAGTGTGGTGCGGTGGACGCTGAGAAAGTAAAGATACCTGCGGATGCCATCAAGGAGCTGCATCACCTCGTCAGCGTCATTGCTTACAAATACAATGACAATCCTTTCCACAGTAAGCCAGCGCAACTCGCCTTCTCTGTTTCTCGCAATGTCAAGTTCGTCATCTCATGCGCCCGTCCACCTCCCCTTGTCTTCTAGACTTTGACCATGCAAGCCACGTTGTAATGAGCGGTAAGGGGAATAGGTGGCACACTGAATTTCAATTTGAACTAAAGCAAACCAAACTCACGCTTTCTTCTTTGCTTGGCAGTGGTAAAGTTGATGAGCCGAATAATTGCTCCTTCTCACCTGGATCAATCTGACAAGGCAGCGGCTTCCAGGCTTCACGAGTGAGTCTGCCTTCGCCTGAGTGCCCTTGCAGTATTCTTGTCTTTGTACTTCTAATGACGTTGATTCTGCTCTACTCTTGCTTGTATTCCAGCCACACATACGGTATCACTAGGTAGGCAAAGAACAAGCATGTCGTTGGTTTCAAGTTTTGCTCTGCTGTTCTCTAACTTTGGCCGTTTCAACCAACAGTGACCCTCTTACACAGTTCGCCTGTGCGTTTTCGGCATTGATTCATGATCTTGGTAAGCAAACCATAAAAGAAGTCTAACAAACGTCTTCAAATTGGTGCTTTCATCATCTCATGCCTTCATGTTGTTCTTCCTGATAGACCACTCTGGTGTTTCCAATGCCCAGCTAGTCAAAGAAGGTTCAGAGCTTGCAACGAAGTATGAAGGCCGAAGCGTGGCAGAACAGGTAGGCATCGAATCCTGCGCTTGGCTTTGTGAATGCAGACCGTTTGAGCTGGAACTCACTTTGCTGTCATGACACTCTTCCTTCTAGAACTCCCTGGACCTAGCCTGGGATCTTTTGATGCAGTCTGACTTTGAGAACCTAAGGGCCTTGCTGTTCAAAGACGAGTCGGATCTTGTTCGATTCCGTCAACTCGTCGTGAATGTAAGTTGTTACATGAGCTATGCAGCCCAAGCAATGGCTGCCATTGTGCAGCCCCCCCTAACCGCTCTTTGCACATTCTCGGTTTCCTTTTTCGCAACCCCAGGGCGTCATGTCCACGGACATTGTAGACAAAGAGTTAAAATCCTTGCGGAACGATCGTTGGGAGAAAGCGTTCAAGTCTGGCAACACCCGTGATTCCACCAACGCCATGGATATGAGTATAAGCAACTGGAGCCGGCAAGAGGAAGCTCGAGACGATGTGAACCGGAAAGCTACCATCGTGATTGAGCACATCATTCAAGCTAGTGACATCAGGTAAGGAACTTCCGCCCACCTTTGATTTCGTCCAACTGCTTCATCACCTTGTCTCACGTCTGTCTCCACCTTCCGTGTTTCTTCTATAGCCACACAATGCAACATTGGCACGTCTACAGAAAGTGGAACCAAAACTTGTTTGAAGAGCTTTACGTGGCCTACCTGAAAGGACGAATGGACAAGGACCCTGCAACTTTTTGGTACCAGGGAGAGTTTGGATTCTTTGACTTCTATATCATCCCTTTGACACAAAAACTCAAGGACTGCGGAGTTTTTGGCGTTTCCAGTGACGAGTACCTTAACTATGCCAAGAAGAACCGAGAGGAATGGGAGACACGAGGGGAAGAGGTAGTGGCGGAAATGGTTGCCGCCGCTCGGGAAAAGTATGGCATCAAAGCTGCGGATGGCAGCATCGTCCGTGCTGACCAGGAGCAAGCGCTTCCGCAGGAGGACAAGCCGGTTACCCCGGAGATCGAATGCTAGCTAGCGTTTTTAGTGGGTTTGAGCGGGCTAAGGGGTTCCCTCTCTCTTGGGGGCACTCGTTAAACAAGATTATGTTTTTATAAATATCAATTATTCTGTGCGTCGTACATCTCCCGGCGTCGAGACGTCAAGTGCGTGAAAGCTTCCAGCATACTGCTCGACCCATGTCGAATGAATCAGGAACCGGCGCATCTGACACATAGCGAGGCTGAAAGAGACAAGGAAGTCTTTGTAGCTGGAAGAGCTTGAGCAAATTGAGCACCTTAGGAGGGTCCTCCAAGGAAAGCTACTGGTACAACGGGCCCAGGTGCTCGTTGGGCGACGAAGGTATGTCCTCACAGGTCCTCACAGGGAACTGGTAGTTGATTCATCAGTCCCAGCTACCCGTCCAGTGGTGGAGGAGTTGGGAGACCTACGTGTAGCTTGCATTGGTGCCATGTTGAACTACGATCGGAATATTGTGAGATTAGACTTAAAACTAGCGTTAGGACGCCACGTCACACACGTGCGTATGTCACTCTCCTCCACTGTGAGGCAACAATAGGCGCCGAGCATCAGTAACATTTAGAAAATGAATCAGGGGAACCTCACTAACCCGTACCGGTGGCAACCGGAGGTACTGGATGCTTTGGAAACACGCGCCGAATGTTCAGTCGCTCGAACTGATGAGGACTGAGCTGAATCGTCACATTGCCATTGGTATGAACGCAAACGAGCACGACGTGCTTATGGAGAATCTGCTCCACGTGATGCTACGGCGATGCCCTGGCAAAGAAGTCCATTGTGACACAATCGGTCCGTGGAAGATTGAGTTACGAAAACGGACGTTGACTTTCAACGCTATGACTATGGTGGATCCTTGCACAAACTTGATAGAGATTGTACTATCATGCGACGCACGTCGGAAGAAGGTGCCCGAGTGGTCGAAGACACGTGGTTTGCCCGGTATCCTCGACCCAAGAAGTGGTTACGGACAACGGTCCGGAGTTCAACCTGGAATTCATTGCGATGGTGAAAAAGAATGTGCAGTGCATCGCTACTCGTCCCCTCGTAATCCACAAGGTAACTCGATGATTGAACGGACTCATCAGGCAATTGGTCAAGTATTGCGAACCATGTGGTCTCGTGTGATCCCAAAAGTGTTGCTGATGGAGTCAAGGTCATTTCCGAAACCTTAGCGACAGGATGCATGCTCATCGTTGTTTCGTGCAGAGTACGAACGCGTATCTCACTCCTGGTGCTCTTGCCTTCAAACGAGATATGTTTCTTGATATTCCTATTTATGCAGACATCCTGGCCGTGCAACGACACTCGTCAATCCTTGGTTGACAAACGTTTGCTGCGGGCCAATGCTAACGCATTTCCTATGACTACGCGGTCGATGACCTGGTCTACAAGCGTGGTATCTCGGTCTCAGTGATAGAGTTGAAGCCTACGGCTTCTGGCCCCTACCGTGTTTCCCCTCAAGCAACAACACCTGGCTACATAACGCAACTCGAGGATGGACATGCGCTTGTTTGTGTGGACAGCAAAATGGATCTAGCTAGCAAGAGATATCCTAATAACCCCCCCCCCCCCCCGATTCACAGATGAATGAATGTTCCGCGAGCCACAGCCGAAGCCAAATCGCCAGAATCGAATTGTTTTTGCTCTCCCAAACCACCTCAAGAATGAGCATTTTACGAAACATCACAGCATATCAGTTGCCGCTCAGCTCACATGAAGCAATTGGCATAAGAGTCAGAAGTGTGAATGCTGGGCCAGGAGAGTGCAAGAAGAGCACAATAGTCAGCCTGCGTCTCCCAGGTGCTCTTCTTCAGTTTTCTCTTCTCAAGTCTGATAGCCTTTTGCATGATTTGTAGTAGTCCACAACATACTTCGTTGGAACAGCGGATGCCTTCACGCAAAAGACCCCATTCTCAAGGGCAATAGATCTACTATGATAGCTAAGGCCACACGGCAACCACCCAGCTAGCCAGAACCGCAATAAAACTCAAAACAGAAAAGCTCAAAAGCTGCCCTTCGAGTTCAGTATTGGTACCGTAAGGGTACAGATACCATTAAATATTCTGGTCCCCTCTCGTTCGCCCCCCTTCTGAATGTCTGATCGTAGCTTTATTGTAACATTGAACCTTCCGCCGAAGAATCTTACGCCGATCTGGTAGTGACATAAACAGAATGACTCCAAGTCCTGGATCGAGGGGGATACTGCAGTACAGTAGTTCAGTAGGAGAGCCCTGAAACGCACGCGGTTGTATTATACGTATAACATTTTTACTATGTATTCTACAGATCATACGTATTACACATATAACATTTTTAATATGTATTAGACAAGTCATACGTACAACACAGATAACAACAAGTGGAACAATATTATACGTATTACATGTATTATGTGTTGTAGTGTTTACGTATAATACATAGTGACGATTTTTTGCCAAGTGTTTTCTTAGCCAGGGTTTTGCCAGGTGTTTGGGAGGATAGAGAGGAAGATGCACTGGTGCAGGCCATAATACCTGACAAGCTTATCAAGTAAATGGCTCTTACCTATCTGAACTCTCTCATGTTGCTAGATACAAAATCAATGATGAAGAATGGACTCCTGCTTCCATCATTGTGAATGTAGCAAACCTCACTAGTCTGATGATACGCCAAGGGAGATAAACATTATGGATACTCTGGGTTCGATAATTATCGAATGGAGAAATCGACGGTGTATTGGCTACTTCGATGTATCAATCTTGTGATCCGGCGCATATTAAAGAAGTTTTGATGCCATACTTTGTACTTCCTTGCAAGACTGCTGGATTCCGCATCAAAAACAAGGGATTTGATAAGAGGCGGAATCACATTACCATATGTTGTCCAAGGAGTCGTATACCACATTGCCTACTTACCCACAATGATGGTACTATCTTCAAATAACAACAGAAACCTCTGTATCATTCAAAGCAACAAGAGGAGAGAGGTTTATCTCATGGTGTGTGTTGTGGAGATTGGTTGGAGATTGGTGGAGATTGGTTTGAAGCCATTTTGCGAAAGGAACGGTCACTCGAACGGTACGGTGGCTGGCTGGCGACCGTGTAATACGTGTTACTAACGTTAAACAGATTAACTACGGAATTCGAAAACCATATTAGTACGTAATTACAATGTATTACATCGCGTGCGTTTGAGTGGGCTCTCGTTCAACTCCTAGAGATGGAAGTTAAATCTTTGTGGAATTTTCAATTTGCTTCCAGTACCGGTACCTGGCCTGTTCTCGTGTGATGTAAGCTCTTTGTACCAGTCAGTAGCTGAAGGAGACATTCACTGATTAAGATGTTCTACCCTGTTCCAACTATGACCCAACGATGACCAGCCCACTCCACAAAAGACCCTTCTCGGAAAACGCCCTTGAAGCTCCAAACCACCAAACCACCCTTTACAAACACAAATTTGTTGACCTCGAGTTTGCTGATACATGTAGTAGTAGCTAGTACTGTACACGAGCTATGTATAAGGGGGGTTTAGAGGAAGGGAATTATCTAGCATATATATTCACCATGATGATGTCGCCGCTGCAATCTCCTGCTGCAGCTCGGGCCAGAGCACAGCGCCAACCACGAACGCCCAACAACAAGCGAATGCCTAGTAGCCTCATGGACTTGAAGCGCGAGTCGAACAGCCGCAAGTACGATATTGGTGCTCTCGCCACTCCTGCTCGACGAGCGCCACTGGCCCGATCCAACACCATTGATGCAGTGCCATCCTTCTGTACGCCACAACGAAACGCTACAGACACCAGGAGGCGTGAACTCCACTACCTCTGGGGTTCCCCTGGTCATGCCTGGCAATCTCGATGACTCTTCTTGCTTCCAACGCACAACAAGAACCGAGAGCCCCATGAGGCGAACGTATTCGGCGGACAGTCTGGTCACTCCTTCTCGAAAGAATAGGACACTCTTTCGATCCAACAGCAGCACCGACTCAGTAGTACTGCCATCGTTCTGCACTCCCAGTCGCCAGCGAAACTTCACGGATGATGGACTACTAAAATAGAAACATCCAAAGTCCAGAGTGCCTCTATGGTGATGCTGCAATCGGATGGCGACGACGAGAGATGCTTCTCCAACGGACGCGACGAGGAGGAGGATCGTCGCTTATGGACAGCCCTCGCTCCTGCTACTCCAAGACGGCGTCCCAGCGCCGCCGGAACGGGGCGTGCAGCCCGGCGTGGTTCTACATCCATGCATGGTGCGTCTATGCATGGTACTACCAGCAATCACGAGGGACGACGAAGGCAGCACACTGAAAAACCGAGCCCCAGACGGCCTTCTCTACTAGTAGCACAGAGCAATCATGAAAGGCGACGGAGGCAAGGACTTCTGCTGTAGCGGACAAAGGGAGCCGACCGTCTCTGGCAGATAGGCGAGCCGTGAGCCATCGTCAGTCCACCGCGGGAAAGGGGGTACCGGAGGACATGGACAGTTCGTGGCTGGAGAATGTTTCGATCGATACCGACAGCAACAACCTGGGAGCATGCAACAAGAATCGCCGTCGACAGTCCACCACAGGAGCAGTACCACATGGTACAACCTTACCCCGCCGTTCCTTTAGCAACAAGAGCCCCAAGGAAACAGCAAGAAGAATGCGACAATATCCACGACAGGACCCCCCATAGAAAGTCCACTACGGAGCCGTACCACAAGGTACAACCTTACCCCGTCGTTCCTTTACAAAAGAGCCCGAAGGAAGCAGCAGAAGATGCCCAATATGACAAAAAGAGTCGTCGTAGAAAGTCCACATCAGGAGCAGGAGCACTGCAAGATCCAATCACACCCCGCCGCTCCGCTAGCAGCAAGAACCTTAAGAAGCAGCAAGAAGAATGCGCCAATATTGACGACAAGACCAGCCGCAGAGGATCCACAACAGGAGCAAAACCACAAGATACAACCTTACCCCGTCGTTTTTAGCAACAAAGCCCCAAGAAACAGCAAGAAGAATGTGCCAATATTGACGACAACGATCGTCGTAGACGGTCCACAATCAGGCGGTGCTGCTCCTTTGATAGTATCATCAAGAGCCCCAAGGAGAGTGGCAGAGAAGGTCGTTCCACCGCGCATCAGTCCACCACTCCCAAGAAGAAAAACACCACGAGAGAACAACTACTGGGCAATAAAGTACCAGTGATGCCAGAACGAAGACCGAGGATCAGCAACCACAAAAAGACGACAGCTCAAGACAAGCATCAGGTTGGATTGAGTCAATCGGAGCATCGTGGTGTTCGTCGCAGGCCCTCCTCTCACAATAAAAAGTCCAAATCGAATGATTGCAGTGCCTTTTGTACTCCACGAAGGAAGGGTTCCGGGAGGACACTGGACTTGCACATGGATCAGCAGGCATCGATGTCGTCCATCACCATGGCCTTTGATGACATTTCCATTGACTACTGTTATGTATTCTCCTCCTCGAGTGACAGGCAGGACAACAAGCCCAAGGTGGCCAATAAGCCAACCAAGTCTACTACCGACACCCCCGAGTCGAAAAAGTCGAAGGAGCTTTCCGTCAAGGTTGATTTAATTCGCCGCAAACGCCTTGCGGCCGCACAGCAGAAAGCTCAAGAACAGATGCAAAGTGCTGCTGACAAGAAACCAGCGAAACTGGAAAGAGCGCCGTCCTCAAGCAAACAACAACAACATCCAGCAGAACCCATGCCTCCAGTGCAGAAGTCGCCGTGTCATGCCCCGAAGAAAGCAATAAGGCTCTGAAGATGGATGATGACGCGGTACTTGCCATTGCAATTGTTGCTCAGGACGTCAATAAGGAAGACTCAACCCTCTCGGCTGCGGGCAGTAATCATTCTACCCACAGTATTCGTTCTACTTTCAGTCGTAGAGAAGCAGCCTCCACTTGGGTTTGCCTTTGTGATTATGTTTCGGACAAACGAAAGCCGTTCTGTGGCATGTGCGGTACAAAGCAGACATGGACTTGCCGGGAGTGCCAGTCAGGTGACAACTTATGCCTCTATGCCTTTTGTGCCATGTGCGGAGTCAGCAAACAACAAGCCAGCAACAAGAGCAGTGGGAATCCCCAAGAAAATAGTTGTGGTGGAGTGCCTGCAAACAAACAACAACGAGGGGACACGCCGGGGTCGCCGTCGTCAGTACGGAATAGCTTTCATACGCAACAGGTTTAGGGATTACATATTTTCTACTTGTATTTCGCGTCCCATCACTGAGACGGTCATTGTTTTATCATCTATGCGTTCAAAAAGGCCACCCAACGAGTCCTGGCCTCGAGAAACCACCCACAGTTGTAGCTTCCCTATCCTTGGAGGAACCGGGCCCAGGTCAATCCACCACTCGGGTGGTGCTCCGATTGCTCGTACAAGCTGTTTCAGGGACAACGGCTTTCTGGTCCCTTCCAGCCATTCCGTGCGGCACGATACTGCTGCGACCGGATTCTACAGCAGCAAACAAAGTCTGCTTCTAGGTTTGGCTACACAGGCTGCTAGCTTCAGCTTTAGCTTTTTGAAAGTCTTGCAACAGGTCAGGTGCTGATAATCTAGCGGCAGTTGGCAATGGCTCAGGAACATGATTGTCAACAAGCACCCCCTGTTGGCCTTTGCCACTGTCCTTAACAGTTGTGCTACCGGCATACTTACATTTTGTGCTCCACATGGAATGGCTACTGTGGGGAGATCCCTAGTGTTGCCCATTCTTGGCACCACCTGGCTGGTCATATTCGAAGGCTAATGGGATCATCTCGTTCTTTTTTTCTACTCTGTACTTGATGTCCTTCCATCGCAAGTATGCGTCCTGTCTTGTCTTCACAGTAAGTTTGTATGCTATCTTTTCGCCCACAAGTTGCACAAAGTTGTGAAACCACCCTGTAAGTGAGTAGTCTTTTCCTGTAATGTGGAAGTCATTCTTGTTGGCCCATTGTTGTGCTGTCCGACTGGGACGAGACAAGAATGTATCCAAGGAGCCACTGTAGTGGTGCACTCGAAATGGGATCCTTTCTGATTGTATGGGTTGTACCCAGTGATTGTCACAGACACCATCAAAGGGACGATGTGGATTGGTGACCTTGTTTCGTCCATTGTAGTTGTGAACATTGACCAAAGATTTGCCATTGGTAGTCATCCCCACTGCCCAATGGGAATGATAGCGGAGAGTGTGGAAGGTGTCAACAGGAAAAGAAGAGGATGACACAGCGTCATTGATATCTGCTATTTCTTGTGTGGACAACTGATCCTGTGCCGAGAAGAACAGTCTTGGATAGACATAGCAGACTGTGGTGTTTTTGTGTATGATCTTATCACGGGCAAGCAGTGTGCAATGGTCTCATTCTGCCTTCCAATGCTGCTTGGAAGGGACACCCGCATTGGGCTGGATCCAGATCGTTCACTCGGCAGCAGAGAGTTGTAGGTGAAGAATTCATCGGTGTCAACGAGGAGAGTCCAGCTAGCGTTCCCTTGTTTGAGTTGGCGCACACAGGTTGTGTAGAAGGCATTTTGACGTTGCAGATGCATAATGTAGGCATGCTCCCCGGTATGATTGTGCGGATCGAAGTGTTCAAGCTTCTCTCTGGACCATCTTCCATCATACCAATAGGAGTTTCCTGTCCACAAATCAATGGTCAGATCTGGCAGCTCTTCTCGAAAGGCCTCCAGGATGGGCTCAGGAGATGTAACACTGAGAGGATCAACAGCAATGATCAAGTGTCTCAGCGGCAACACTGTGTAGTGAAAAGCAATCCATTCGGACAACAGGAGATTGTCATCACGGGCAATCAGACAGGCAGCAAACGTAAAAGGATACGCATGGTTGGGTCGCACATGCCGGTTTTCTTCACTCGGGTCGGTGCTATTATGATGATCGTGTTCAGCACCGTCTTCATTGGTGGTTTGTTGAACACTCCTTTGCTGATTCTGTGCCAAAACATCTGGGGCCAATGCAAATGCATCCTTGTAGATCTGAATTCGTTTCACGATGTTCGTCTGCCGAGACCAGACAAACGAAACAATAATCAGAAAGACAAAGGCCGCCGCCCTTGTCGAGCGTCGCCAGTGCTTTTCCGCTTCCTGTTTCTTTGCTTCAATTGAGATCAAGAACGACATGCTTCCGTCAGACACAAAGACTACTATCGGCACTCAGAATATGCAAATCCTTCTTCGATTCAGATTATGCTGACAACAAAGACCATCTCGCAGAAAGCAACATCTTGCTTCACGTCGTTTTCGTGTGTACAAGGATAGTCAATCTGGAAGTCCCCCGATTGGCGAGTGGAAGTCGCGAAAAGTCGTTAAAGTCGCGAAAGTCGTTATAGTCGCGATAACAGTGGTTCTAAGTCGCGCAAAGTCGTGCAAGTCGCGCAAGTCGCGATTCAAGTCGTTCAAAGTCGCAATTTTATTCTAGTAAAAAGCATATAATGTCGCACTAAGTCTTGCTAGTCGCGGTAAGTCGCGTGACGCGACTAGCGCGCTATCGCGTAAAGTCGCGATTTAAAATCGCGACTTAGAAACCGCGACTAGCGCGACTAAGGGTCGAAGTCGCGAAAGTGACGTCAC